GGAGTTTCTGCCTCTTCCACCTCAATTAGGATTCTCCTTTGTTGCAGGAGTTCCTCTTACCCAGTTTTCAGTTCTGTCTCAGGGGTAATTTTTCCACAAGCAGTTGTAAATTGGCTGTGTCTGCGGGAGGAGGTGAGTTCAGAGTCTGCTTACGCTGCCATCTTGACTTCTCTGTCACCTTTTTCTTGTTATGCATGAGGTTGAACATTCTTTTCTGTGAACTGTCTGTTATTATCCTTTACCTATTTTTCTACTGAGTTATGGATCATCTTCTTATCAATTTATAAGAACACTTTATACATGACAGAAATTAGCCTCTTTCTGCAATCTAAGTTGCAAACATTTTCCCAGTTTGTCTTCAGTCTTTTGATTTTACTCTGGTATATTTTTCCTTGTAGAAATACTTATCCTTAATTGATTGAAATAACCGATTTTATTTTCTACATGGCTTATGGGTGTGACAGTCGGAAAAGCCAACCTTTTCAACAATAAAGACATTCTGTAATGAATACACACAGCCGCCATCAGCACACGTGCTGTGGACTAAGCAGAGCAGTGGGAGGAGTGCTGGGTTTGGAATCTAGGGTATGCAACTCTAAAATGGTTGGCTTTCTCAAGGCACTTCTGATCTAGCTGGGAGGAGACAGAGTTACCATATGCTAAGTACCAAATGCTTATGGCATATGCAATCCGTGCCATGGAAGTGCTAAAGCAAGAGAAAGCACTGTGAGCTAGAAAGCAAATGGCGAGGAAAGACTTCATCAGAGACACAGTTTGAGGGGGAGTAGACTTGGATGGGGACAACAAAGGGGAAGGAAGGGGTTTCGTTTGGAAAGGAGGACTGATCCACACCCAGCCTTCCATTACAGCACCTGTATGGAGGTGCGGGAGGATGTCAGTAACAGTGTAAACCACGGCGCAGTGTAGGAGGAAACAAGGGGAAAGAGGAGCTGGGATACAAGACAGAGTCCTTAGATGGCAGGCTAAGGAGGCTAGTATTTATCCTGTGAACACGGCCAAGCCAA